CATGTCAATCACCTTGCCACTTCTTAGTGTAGTGACAACTTGGGCTTGACCTTGTGGATTTTCCATGAATGAACGATTTCCCACCTAAAATTTGCCTTGTGGTGGTTTTGGTTGGGCAGGAAACTTGCCCTTTTCATGTGTGGTCATGGATTGGGTCAACTTTTGAATGTAACTTTTCAGATCCTCGAAAAATTGAGTGGTCTAGGTTTTGAAGTCAGTGAAAGCCTGAGTTGAACTATGGTTGTAGTTCATTTGGCTTTGCATGAATTGGTTCAGTGTGTCCTCAAGGTTCCTCTTTTGTGGTGGTTGGTATGGTTGGTATGCGGGAGGTCCTTGAGGTGGTGGGTGTGAACCTTGTTGGTTCATTGGAGTTGGCTGTGTATTCCTCCAACTGAAGTTTAGTTGGTTTCGCCACCCTGGATTGTATGTTTCAGAGTATGGGTTGGAGTAAGGCTTGTTAAAATTAGAGACAACATTTGTTTGTTCCAACAAAATCTCTTTGAATGCGAGAATTATGAGACACTCTCCAGTAGGGTGTCCTGTTAGAGCACAGATCCCACACACTTGTTTTGTGGGAGAGCTAACATCAACTTGATGAACTTTTTTCATCTCTAAAGCTTCAAGCTTTTGAGATAGGGTGGACATTTTTGCTCTAAGGTCATCATCATCTTTCAAGACATACTTATCCCCTTGGGAAGTAGATGGTTTGGCTTCAATAGTTATGGGGGAGGCAGTGTCCCACATCTAAGAACTGTCAGATATGGTATCAAAGAAATCGAATGCCTCCTCTGGAATTTTTTTCATAAACTCTCCTTGAGCCATCATTTTGACAAACTGACATTGTCTACTGGGCAGGAAGTCATAGAAAAATCCTAACAAGGTCTAATTCTCAAAAGCATGGTGTGGGCAAGATTGAAGTAGATCCTTGAATCTCTCCCAACTTTGGTAAAAGGTTTCTCCTTCTTTGACCGAAAAATTCATGATTTGCCTTTTCAATGCATTAGTGCGGTGTAGAGGAAAAAATTTTCTGAAAAATTCATTTTATAATGCCCGCCAATCAGGTATTGAAAGAGCTTTTAAATAATTTAGCCATTATTTAGCTTTATCCCTTAGGGGGGAAAAGGGAAAAGTTTCATCTTGGCCAGTTCAGAATTGTCTTGAAAAGTTCCACATACATCCTGAAAATCTTTTATATAAATATATGGGTTTTCTGTTTCGAGTCCACGAAACTGAGGGAGTAGTTGAACTGTCCCCGTCTTTACAGTAAAAGGGGGTGCATCTTCAGGAAAAACAAAACAAGAGGGGACATTATTCCTTGTGGGATTCAAGTAATTTCTCAGAGTTCGAATGTTAGGCACTTCCCCTTCCCTTATAGGGATTTCCTCTTGTCTCTCACCAGTTGTCATTTTACTTTCACAAGAGTCTGCTACTGATCTAGGTGAAGTGGTTCAGATCGATTCACAGATCCAAAAGATTTAGCTGGCAAATTTTTGATAGTGAGGGACGTTTTCAGACATAAAAGTAATTAACACAACTTTATATATAGTAAAATAAAGTTATACACAAAAATGAGGTCTTTTTACCTTTTACCGTAAAACACCTTCTATGGCTTCCCGGCAACGGCGCCAAAAAACTTGACTTGATCCGAAATGTGTACACCCAAGTGCAGACAGTCAAGCAGTAGTAATAATCCGGTGAAGTCCGGAGTCGAATCCACAGGGAGCTATGATTGGTGTTTTGAAGTAAGCAGTAATAAAGACTAAGTAACTTTTGGAAATTTCGCGTGTTTGGAGTGCTGGGGTTTTCTTGATTAGAATAGAAGATTCTTTTCAAGATTTTTCTAGACAAAAAATAAGATTCTCAAAATGGAACAACCACTTTTTAGCTCGAGGATCCGGACATGTAATAGAGTATCCATTTTGTTATGTTTGTGCTTTATAACTCAATTAACTCCCATGTCAATAGCAAGTTAATCAAAAAATAAAGATGAGCTATGAGAATTAAGCACATGATTCCAATGCCTTTCTAGAAGTTTACAAGAATTGTCTGTGCCGAGACTCAATCCGTCTACAAACAAGCAAGTGTTTCTACAAGGCATCCAACCATGACATTAATGATCCATTCTTTGAATAAAGCGCAATGATAGTGGAGATTGAAAGATTGTCATGAAGAGCTAGCGGGGGTACTTGCATTGAACCAACAGATCTTTCTATGCAGGAGTCATCCATATCATAGATTGAACCATTGGTTATACAAAGTATGTCAATTTTACTAGGTGCATTCAATCGTCCGATGAACAAGTGGAGTATAAAGCATTAAAGCATGAAGAAGTTGCACAAACATAACTTTCAAATAATCTTTACATATTCATCACCTCTTACTAAAGAGTGAATGAGGAACTACTCAACTTTCATGGCCTTGGCAAAGCTAGAAAAGTGAGTGTTACTCATTCCTCTAAGTAGAGACGCTACTAAATAAAGCAAACTAAACAAAGAACTTTTCTTCAATGAAGAATAAGTGAATCACTTTCCACCCTTCACAGGTTTAGTAAAGCTCTAGAAAAGTGGAAGCGTTTCACTCTTCTAAGAAAGAATGATGCTCAAGCAATGGAAGTGAAATACATGAACAAAAAAAAGTAGAAGAAAGATAGTTGCTTTTGGAGGGTTTCCACCACAACCAAAAGATAAACTACCTCCCTTGATACTTTGTAAGTGAAAGCAAGTACAACTACAAGGGTAGTCTAAGCCTCCGTCATTGTTGTCACAACATGAATGTAAAGACTTAGCATAAGTAAATGAAAGACTTCAACTACAAGGAGAGTCTAAGCCTCCAACATGGTTGATATAAATGGAAAAGGAAAGCATAAACAGGAAGTATTCAAGAACTAGACTACTAAACACTCTTACAAGAATAAAGATTGCTCCCCCATTTACTCTACAAGAGGAAGAATGTCTTTTAAGCTCCCAACAAGGGAGTATTTATAGGCAAGGAAGGGGAGCGGGGTAAGAGATAAATGAGGATGAGTGAATAGTATTTGCCACCCATGGGAGTCAACTATTCTGCTGGCAGTCTGCAGGGGGACATTCAAACGTTATCTGGCGTTTGAACGTCAAGTCTGCCTTTGCTTTGTAGGCGTTCGAACGTCATCTTTCTTCCACTCAAGTGGCCTGTGGTCACTGACTTAGTCACTTCCACACGCCTTGACATCATTGACTGTACACTCAGCAACTCCTTAGTCACTCAAGACAATGTTCGAACGTGGGGTGACGTTCGAACATTGTACTCAAGTACTTTTGGTTCTTCTTTCTTACTGCAACATGTCAGGTTTCAGTGGTGTAGTCTTTTCAGGATTCCAGAGGACGTTCGAACGTGGAGTGGCATTCGAACGTGATACTCAAGTACCTCAGCATTTCCCTTTGTTGACTGCAACACGCCATGTCTCAACAGCTGGTCTTGGCAGGGTTTCAGATGACGTTCGAACGTGGGTTGACGTTCGAACGTCCTTGCTTTGTTCCAACCTTCTGCATTTTTGTTCCCTTTTATGCTGGTGTTACATTCAAGTGTGATTTTTGTTGTTCTTGGGTCTTTGTTCACTTTAGTACCTGAAATGTCATTACTTAAACTTCATCAAAGCACAATTAGTCCAAAAAGGCATAGTAAGAATTGTTAACTTTACGCACGAATCAGAGGCACGTGCGCGTAAAGGGATAGGTGACTAGTCCTTCAGAGTAGATAGCTACAGCTAAAGATTGGTACAATTAGAAATAGTCTTGATCTTGGAGAGTGACTATCCTGATAATTACTTCTCACGTGCGCTAATCTTCCTATACTCCTTGAACTTTGGATTGGACCGGATCTATGAGCTGGGTTTGACCTACTTTTTTAGTTCATTTGGGCTTATCTTATTAATTGGGCTTGGACCAAGCTGAATCTGGGCTCGTTAGCTACTATTTTTACTTTAATTGATGCGCCTTAATTGGAGACTTCCACAATCTCTTAGCCTATCAGGCTTCATGAAATTAGTCGAAATCCATTAATTTCACATAAAATAATAACTGTAACCCATTAAAATGAATAAAAAATTTCAAGCTTTTACAAATCCAAAAGGTTTTATCCATTGCTTCCACTTGGATTTATCCCATGAGGAGTTTTCATTGTCACAATTATATTCGAATTAGGAATCTTAAAAGATAGGTTGGATTGGTAGAGCTCAAATTTATGCTAGCTCAATTTTTCCTCCATCACACATAAAACCTCCCCTCCTCTCCCTTTGTTATTAGTATTGATACTAGCCATCGCCTCCTTCAATGTCAGAAATTTTCAATTATCACTTCACCACCACTCTTAATTTCATTGTCGCCCTTAACCGGACCTCATCCTAATATTATTAGAAAAAATATTTATAAATATACTAAACTGATGTTTTAAAAAAATAAAAAATAAAGTGGTTAAAAAGATAGTGAAAAGTAAAATTTGAAGTAGGCATCCAAAAGTTAGTAGTGATTACATAGGCAAATGGAAGAATTCAATTGAAGAATGTCTATACATTATTATTAAATAATTTAACACTATGAAGAAATAGAATTTAGGGAGGAATAGTTTGTCAAACACTCTCTGCTCTAAATTTATTCTTATAGAATAGAGTATAAATATTATTTGCGTAGCCACCAATCTCGTCTTTATTTATTCCTTTTACCTGCTTAAATTGCGTAAATTCAGAGTTTCAATGGCAGATAACTTTTACTGATATATTAACTCAAAAGAGTAACCCAAAAAAAGAAAAAAACAAAACTAAACAAAACAACAACGAGAAAAAGCAGGGGAAAAATACAAATTATTTATTACCAGGAATTGAACCCGGATCATACAGGTGGAAGACACTGACCTAACCCCTGGACCAAAATAAATTATTAGCATGTAGTGCACATATTATGTTTACATATCAATACAACGTATGTCTGATACTACCTTTCACTCCCCCACACGCTATTTGACCTAGGTGCGCTACAAAAAAGTAGAGAAGAGCAAAGATAAAGTGGAAAGAAACAGAGACTGCAGATCCATCATCCATGGCGTCGACCGAGCAGTCCTCACCACCACAACAGCCTCATCAACATCTTCCCAAAGACATCATAGTTGACATACTCACTCGCCTCCCAGTCCGGTCTGTCCTCCGATTCAAATCCGTCTCCAAATCATGGTACGCCCTTCTCATATCCCCCAACTTCACAACCAAACACTTCCACACCACCAAACACTCTACTCCACACCCCACTTTCCTCTTCACCACCGCCAACAAATCCATCACTCTACTCTCTACCAACGCCGAACCATCACTCAATATCCCCATAAATCTAGACATCCCCTTTTTGCACGTCTCAAAACCTCTCCGAGTCACTGGATCTTGTGATGGGTTTGTTTGCCTTAGCGTTTTACCACGTGGGTCGATCATTTTGATATGGAATCCAGCTACCAGAGAGGTCAAGGACCTACCCGTTTCACCGATCAAGCGGCCTCAGGCGGGTCCGATTAAGGTGGTTTTGGGATTTGGGTTTAATTTCAATTCAAATGATTATAAGGTTTTGAGGATTGTGTATTATGGGTACCCACTTAGCCAAGTTGAAATGTACTCGTTAAAGACGAATAAATGGAAGGAAATCAAGACTGATGTGGGGTTTTTGATTTTTGAGTCTGGGTGTACCGTTGTTTTGAATGGAAGGTTTCACTGGACCGCGCTTGCTTTCAGGGAAATGAATGGTAGGAAAGTTATTGTTTCTTTCGACATGGGGGAAGAGAATTTTCTCTATATAATGCCTCCCAGGTTTGAATTCAGTGGCAGTGATGATGATGGTAGTTGTAGTGATGACGACGAAGATGATGATGATGCCAAATTAACATGGAGTGTAGTGGCTTTGAAGGAACGCCTTGCTGTTATTGGTTGTAGAGATGCTCGGGGACAGAGCTCGAAAATTGGTGTATGGGTAATGGATGAGTATGGTGTGGCCGGGTCTTGGAGAAAATATATGTCGTTTGGACCCTATGAGAGAATTAATAGGCCTTTGGGATGTGGGAAAAATGGTGAGGTTCTGTTGGAAAAGAATCACGACGAGCTGGTTTTGTATGATGCTGGTTCTCATACAATTAAGAATCTTGGAACTGGTGGTGTTCCTGGTTGGTCCGAGGTTTTTAATCATGAAGAAAGCCTACTTTCAATCAAGGGGGGAAAAGTTGCGGAAGGGTCTAGTTTGCGTGATGTGATTCCTGACTCTTTCTTTGTGCGGAGGTCTGACTTGATGGAAGAGTGATCTTTAGATGCATCACCCTATATTAATGGAGTTTTTATCTGTTGTGATCATCTTTGGCTATTTGGATGCTCAATTTTGATGATCCATCAGTATCTGCGAATAGAGCGGACTCCAAATTGGGTTGAAGAGTATGTCTTCTGTTCATCATATGGAGTTGGATATTTTGTGCTGATTTGGTACTTCCATTTTGACTGAACACTACTCCCCAGAACTATGATACACTGGGTGTCACAACGATAATTGGTGAAAAAAAGTTTGAAAAGTGAAAGGCTGAAATTTTCGAGAGAGAGGGAGAGAAGGTTTAATGTCTTGCTTTAGTTAGTTTTTTTTTTTTTTTGGTGGAGATATGTTGCTTTAGTTGAACTTTTCTATTTCATGATGTTGGATGTAATATTGTCATGTCTACGTACTTCTTGGTGTGTGTTTGTTTCTAGCTCGCTGAATTCTCGAAGCTTTTATTACCTTATTTAACCAAGTTTCTCCATCAAACATGGTAGGGACGCTTGAAGTATGATTTTATCTGCCTTAGCCAATTTCTTATTCATCTAAATGTCTGACGGTTTGTTACTGGATTAGCATTAGCGGTGTTAACTACCTGCATAAATTCTGTTTTAATTTTGGTATTGTTCATCTGGACTTGTTTATTTGTTGCATACTGAATTTGCTTCTTTAAGCCAAAAAAATATTGGCAACCTCTTTTGGCTTACAATTTAGAATTGCAATTCTTTGTCCTGCATGATTTGGACTTGCGAAATGCATTCCGTTACACTTGTGTTGGATGCTAACTATTAATAAGTTCAATTTTGTTTGCTAGTTGTGTTGTATTACTCAGGTTTATCAATTGATGCACATACTGTTCTTGTATGTTGGAGTAATTCAACCTAGCTCAGGAAAATGGCTAACAATAATATATTTAAATATTATATTTTTTTATTTTAGCTTGTCATTTTTAAGTTTGCTCTAATTACGTTTTCTATGTTAGTTAATTATTTTAACTAAATTTAACTTTTAATAATATAATTCAAAAATGTCACGTGGCTTAACACGTCAACGACATAATTATGACATGGCATAATGGCGTATTGTGTTATTAAAGTTTTAAATTTTAAATTTTACAATGGTCATATTTTTTAAAATATATAAATAGGACATTATTTCTTTCATTGTTATATAACTCAAACGTATTTGTCGGCATTGCGCACATATTATTAAAGATTATTATTATTAACGATTTTGACTTCAAATGATGAGTTGGAAATGTTAGCGGTTGTTACTACGGCAATGCAGAAATTCAATATCGAAAATAGTTCTCCAGTACATAGTGGTTCTATTCAAGGGCATTATGTTATTTTCTATAATTGAGTTGACAGGCATGAGAGACTTTTATTACGATTATTTTGTTGAATCGCCTACCTATCTTTTAAATTTATTTCGGAAGAAGTTTTCGGATGAATTGATCTCTTTTCTTTCGCATTCTATCCATAGTGGAAATTTATGATCTATATTTTATCTAAAAAAATTAATGTTTTTGAGAATATTGGCTTGTCTTTTCTTTAAAAGATTGTTGTTATAAGAATGTTTGTCTATGGAGTTACAATAGATATTGTTGATGATTATGTGAGGATTGACGAAAACACCACAATATAAAATCTACAAAGATTTGTATTGGTCCTAATAGTAATTTATTCGGATGAGTACCGCATGTCACCAAACAGTGTAGACATTGTTAAATTATTTGCAATCGGTGAGAGACGTGAGTTTCCTTGGATGTTAGGTATCATTGACGCATGCATTGAAAATGGAATAATTGTCCAACAATGTGAAAATGTATATATTGTGGTCATGTATACGAACCAACAATTATTCATCAAAAAAATTTGATTGCTATTATAAGCTAACTGAGATCTACTGATTCGCTATTAAACTCATCTAAGTTTATTCCGTCATTCAAGAGATTGGTGAAGTAATATCCATGTTCAAATTGTTTAATAAGTAATGCCTATAATTCAACCTAAAGTATATATTATTCATGTAATTCAACTCAAACCATATATTATTATCAACCCAACCAAAATAATATCATAATAATAATTCTAATCAAACTCCAAATAATAGAACCTAACAACAATTTAACACTCATTCACTTCCAATAACACAAACCAATTACACAATACATGTCGCTTAAACTAAAGATTTTCACAAATACTTGCATTAACATTTCATAAGGTCAAAAATCAAATATTCCATTATACATAAAACTAATGGGGGGGGGGGGGTTTGGAATTTAGGGGGG